GATGTAATGAGATCTTATTCACGACTATTTCAACTAATAGTTTAATAATGCCAACATGACAACTAAAAGTTAGTATCTGAGACTAAAATCTTTGTATAAATCATATCGTCATCTCTGTCATTATCTTTGACAATATTGTGATAACAATTTGTTTCATAAAGACCCACACCACGGTGTAAGAACAAAAAAGTGCATAAAAATATATCCTTACTGTACTATTAAAAACAAGTAACAGCAATATCGTAAAATTAATATCGCGAAAGCTTTTGTACAAAGCTGTTCGCTCGGGAGCTTTACGCGACGGATTGAAGGCAATTTTAATTACTTTACATGTTGAACACGGTCGTAAAAAAACAAAACTTTGGAATATTTCATTTCAACATAATAATTTTTTTTTAGAAACACACTCGGGATGTTAAAAAGGAATATTCTATTGAAATTTGTTAAGTGGAACTAAATGCTGTCAAGTACAGGTATCAAGCAAGTTTATCTGGGCCGGTATGAGAGGCTATCGCGGTTAGTTTTGTTAGAAAATATGTAAAACCGATACAGGTACAAAAATTACGTTAAGAAAAAACATGACGTTAATTATAGTACGACATGGTTATAGTTTGCCTTATGCCCACCGGGTCAGAAAAACTTTGTACTATAAATGTTAGCTTTTAGTATATAAAAATCGCATTGTAATGGTCTGAAATTTATAATTTGATTGCATTGAGTAAAAAAATAACATTTAATCCTTTCAATATTACAACACAATAGCAAAAATATCAGTTAATTTTAATTAACTTAAACAATCATATGTATAGAAAATGATGATAATAAAATGTTGTATTTGTTACTAGCTGTCGCCCGCGTGGATATATAAAAAAACCAAAAAAAAAAATGAATAAATATTATCCTATGTCCGTCTCCTGGCTCTAAGCTACCTCTTCACTAATTTTCAACCATATCGGTAAACCCGTTCTTGAGTTATAAATAGTGTAACTAACACGACTTTCTTTCATATATATAAGATTAATAATTACGTACATTTTAATCACATTTCTAATCTATATGTTAGTAAAGTTCTTATTTCACATAAACAATCTAAAAAAAACTAACCATTTTTTTCAAATTCAAAATAGTTTTCGTACATGTTTTAGCAGTGAAAACATGTGTTAAGTGTTACGCTTTAAAACGAATTCCATTTTATCAATGAATCCTTATGTAAAGTTATAAAACAGCCATCTTTCAAGTGATAAAGCTTATAAAACCTTCATATTCGACTTTCAACGCTATAAATAATCTTTTTAACGATTTTTCTTTGATATTAAAAATTTTACTGGAATTTTATCGTTATTAGATATATCAGTATGAAGGAAGATTGTTTTTAGGGTCGGTGTTACCAACTTAAATACGACCATATGAGGGAATCGAACACACCCTAAATTCAAATGATTTTAAGTGTCAGAATAATTGTTACATCCAAGAGCCTAATCGTTAAGGGTACGGTCTGATCACGTGGTCGATGATTCAAATCCTAGCAATCGAATATTGTCGGGTCAGTTGAACCATGTAGAAATTTCTCTCATTTTCTTCTGAAAAGCTTAGGAAAACAATATTCACTTAACATATACACACTCATCAGACGAAATGCGGAATTGCTTCCACTTGACGCCTGTATTCTGTGTGGTCGTGGTATTTCACCGGGCGAGCCGGGCCAATACGTGCGAAGATGTTAAAGCGGGCTCTACCACTGTTAATTGTTTATAAAAGCTTGTATTGGCAATGTCAATCGACAATATATATTTTTTGGATATTGGCCCACCCACTGATAACATGCATAAAAACCATCAACTAACTGTAGCATGCTGAGCTGATTACACTTTTAAAATGAAAGTTTTATTCATGCTCAAAGTTGAGATAAGTAATTATATCTTTTATTTTCTGCATAAAATGGCAATAGAACTTTTTCTTTACTGATTTAAACATGATAATAAATTTTATTCGAGCACCATGTGTCATAATATGTCTGTAAGTTGTTGAATTAATATTTCTTTTATAGACCTACAAAGTTATATGGCCCGGTGGGCATAAGTCAAACTAAATTATGACAGCCCAGTATCGCCACTCAATCAATGATAAAAAGTGTCAGAAGTCAATACTGTCTTGTTATTTCTTGTATATCTTTTCTATGCGTATGAAGAGGCTGTATGGCTTAGTTCCTTTGCCTGCTCTATCGAGCGAATAATAAAAATAACAACTATGAGTATGAAGGTTTTACATGTTTTTGACAGCAGTGCCTCTTTTATTGGGCCAGACAAACTGCGATATGTAACAAATACAAGTGCTTCGACCCACAGTTATATTATGTTACATGTAATGACGTCAGAATTATTATAGGAATTCTGTTAAGTCATCGATTACGCATCAAACTACATATTACGAAGTATCAATAAAGTGGGAGGAAGCTTCCGCTTTTTGATTGCGATGGAAAGTGACAGATAGATAATAAATTGAGCTTGTTTTTATAATATATACATATTACTTTATCTATAAGAAATATAAGTAATTGTTACTTTATTATTTGTCCTCAAAAAATGTTTTGCATTTATTATTATTTTTCTTATCATTACATTAATTTACATATGGAACGTAGAAAGAGATCATTTTTACAATTCCTTATAAAACATGAAATAAAACCTGATATTCCTAATATTATAAATGCAAATGTTTGGATGTATGGAAGGATGTTTGCTAGAATGTATCTATAGAACGGCTCAACCGGTCTTGATGAAATTTGTTTTAACATAGTTTCGAAAAACAAATAGAATAATTAACTTTTTTAATTCCGAGCGGCCAGAGTCGCGGAGAAAAGCTGGCACTTAATAAAATTATTTGGTACTGTAATTGCCAATACCATATATAATAATTTATGAGTATAACAGTCCCTTAGGGTTGATAAAGCATGAGTAATCTAGATTAATAAACAACAATAAAAACTCGATTAAAATGGTACCAACAGATTATGGTATTTCAATCGTGGTAAGAACGTTAAATATACAAATAGCAATAAGTTTATTTTTGGTCTTGAATATAAATTGGTATCACATCGAGTTGGAGTTTTAATGAAAAACGTACCGAAGCGGGAAGCGGACGTACGCGATGAGATAAGGGAGTACCGAGCAAGGGCACGCCATCTAATATCACCAATACAACCTTGCCGGTTATTTATAGAAAGAACAACTTTATTTACCTTTTTTCACTACAAGAACATTTCTTTAAGCCTGAAAATTACGTTAGTAAGGAAAATGGAGAATCAAAAGCATATATGGGCATAATGGTCATATAAACGAGAAGGAAATTAGAATAAATTTCAATGGCTATAAAAGTAAAGGACAAAAGAATGTATTACTGGATTGTGTGAAAGAGAATATGTTTGGCTTTGGTAGCAAATGTATGAAACTGGAATACAGTGCCGACTTCATGTAGTCAAAAAGCCAAGAAAATTATTAACATTCAATAGACTTTATTCAAACGTAACGAATGATTTTCAGTGTTTTTTTAGCATTTATATTTCATCCAAATCGTTATAGCTTTAGCTATTACACTGAAATACGTAAATGTTTCATATATAGTTCACAAAAGGCCAGTATGTAATGTCTTATTAATCAGCTTTAGGTCTACATAATTAGGCCGGTTAGATTGGGCCTTATCAAAGAGAACCACCACACTGTTGAAGCTATATCATGTTTGCATTTATCTCGAAATGAGACGATTCTATTTTATTATTTTCGAGATTTTTCCTTATATAGAGGGTATATGAATAAAACTCGATTTTTCCATTTTAACAAATAACAACTATTAACAAAAAAAAAACTTAAAATAAAAAGCCAAATTCAATGCGAATTTTTGTACAAATAATTACGAAAAATACGAAACAAAACTGCAATCTGAAAGATATCAAAACAAAACAAAAACAAACATATTGGCAAAACTTTTATAATTTTCTAATAACAATTTTTATACTCACTTTGCTCGCAAAGAAAGCTGTCTATCGTTAGGGCACACATATTTATTCACTTTACTTTGATAGTTCATTGCACACATTAAAATTTATTTATTTTTACTTCATACGGCACAGGAATTAAATTACCGCGCGTTCCCGCCTGTTGATTCCGTCCAACTGTTGCTTCGAGCGTGGCCACTTCTAATGATCGATATTAAAACAACGCTCTTCAAAATAGCTCTATGTAACAAAATATTTAGTTCTATTAAGTTTTTTTTCATACCAAATCAGTGTAATTTATATTTAAAAAGGGTTTATTTATGTATTTCTTTGTTGATAAAGGATGATCAATCTAATAATTGAATAGACATCATCTTCATACAGATACGTTGATAGTCATAAAAAATAACATCAAGACATTAAAATGTACACTGAAAAATATGTAAATTATGTTAATTTAAAAATCATAAGCCATTTTAATTGTTTAAATAATAAAAAGGACGAATTTAATTAATAATATTTTGTAATGGCAATCATATCTAGTAGCTGGTAACATTATGTCGTTTAGGGTTGTTCGTCTTGTCGCGTAACGTTTACTTCGATATGAATCATGTTTTATTAACTACTTAACTTAATAAGATTAATGCAGTTTATAACGTATGATTCAATTTTGTTGTAATTCAATTTGGTTTAAGCAAATCATAAGAAAATATATAAAACCTATTTTTAAAAAAATATGTCAGTCGACCTTGTTTCTTTCGTGTAAAACGATTCGTTCTTTATCAACAGTTATTTTAGATGTTTTCCATACTAAAAACAACACGTTTTTGATAAAAATCAGTGTATAATTGACTGTTTAAAATTGACAAGAACCATGTTAGAATCGTTAGACTGACTTTAGTTTGTACTAACGTAACCACATAACATAATAGCAGTTATTTCTCTGGTAACACTGCTTATGTTATCGCAAGACATCACTAGTGTCACAATCATGACAGTTAAACTTTTCAGTAATAATGGCGCACTTGCGAAAGGTGCATACATTCCTGTAACTTAAGTTTGTATATTGTGGTGAAGTGAAAAACAAAGTTGTTTTAATGCCGTACCGCAGGCGCTTTTCGACCAAGATGACGGATTATGACGACGATATCACTGTCGTCGATGTTTATGATCTGGCATCTGATATCGGGAAAGAATGTGAAATAATTATCGAGAAATACGGCCCTGATGCTGTAACAGCGTTGTTGCCGAAAGTTATTAATGCTCTTGAACTGCTAGAAAATTTGGCGGTGCGAAACGAAAAAGAAAATCAGGCGTTACTCGAACTTACAGCTAAGATTTCACAGTTAGAGAATGATAAGATAGAAAAGGCTGAATACAGGCAACGCTTCGAGAAGGTAAGTTAGAGAGGTCATTGCTTTATAGAATTATTTGTACTGGAGTTGTAAACGCATGAAATATTAGTTTCGACATTAGTGAACTCATTGGCGATACTTGCAACAGCGTTATATCGACCAGTGCATATTGCACGACATTGATAGCATCGCGTTTGCTATTAATGTTTTGCACTACTACGTATTTGTTGCTTTTAACGTTTATCGTACCAGTATTGTCTGTTTAAAGCATTACTTTTCTTATACTAAAATTGACAATCTTTTACCATGTATTTCTGTAGGTATGAAATGAAACGGCTCCATAGTCTTAATACTATAATTGGATTGACTTTATCCTGCATGCATGACTTATATTGCATTACAAATATACATATAGATAGATATATAATTGATTCAGTGTTTTATTACTTTATTACATACTTTAAATTACTAAAAGTAATAAAGAATTTTTTGCAACATAATTTTTGTTGTAACCGAGAAATGTTTTTTAAGAGATATATTTTTTATCTTCTTTATAACATTATTGTGAGTTTATTATGCTAAAATGCTGATACACATACATAGTTATCTCTGTCTTTTATCAAGAGGAGGTAAAGGATGACAATATTTTTGTACAGTCATCTCGGTGTTGGAAACTCATGGTTAGGGTAAATGCCACAATTAAAACTATGCAGATAATAATATTACAAGTTAAATGTTTCAAATTCAACCCTAAATTTTATTATGTACAATAGTAAAAAGAATATTAGCAATATGAATTAGATTTTATTTTTCATTTAATCTTACTAATAATATAAATGTGTAAGTTTGGATGTTTGTTAGAAGGTATCTTGTAATATAACCAGTCCAATAAAAAAATCGCAGCTCATATCACCTACAATATGTTAGCAACCCTTTTTTTACAACTGACAATAAGAACATATTTTTGGTGTATGAATCCTATTCCGAATGCTTTGTGCGCCCAATATTATAGTAAGGTATTTATTCATATATACAAAGTCAATATACAAAGTTCAAGACATAATAAGCGTCAATAGCCTGATGGTTAAGGGTACGGATTTCCGATCACGAGGTCGGTGGTTTGAATCCCGCCATTCGACTATTGTCGTAAACCATATCCTAGCACAAGGCTAGAGCTTAGTTGGAATGGTAAAAGAAATATTAGTAAATTTACAAAAAAATCTGCTAATATTTTTTAATAAAAAAAAAAAAACTGAAATATTAAATGGAAATCTAATAGACGAACACTCCAACAATTTGAAGTCAATTTAAGTCAATTTTTCACTTTAGACATGAATAAATGCAGCTCAGATCTCTATTTTGTATGTACAGTATGAAGATGTTTGAGTGCAAGTATTCTTCTAATTGCATCATCTCAGTGGTACTCAAACTGAATAATTTTTAAAAAGCAATTGTCATAAACTATTTTTTTTAAATTATACAATTCTTTATCTGTGATGATTATGAGGAATCAAAATTAAAAAGTTAACTAGTAAATTAATAAATTATGTTTATTTATTTCACTGTTGGGAAGTTACACTATCCCCAGGTGACATAGCTTATATTTGTTACTAGATTTTTTTTTAATTCCGCTCTAAATATAAAACTCAGAAGTCGCGGGTTATTGCTTGTATCAGTTTTTGAAATATTGTAAAGCAGTCTCAAAAAGTCTCCCTCTCACTGGAGATGTATCTATTAGTCACAATGAAACACTGGTTATATCTTGGTGCGAGTCAACTTAAATTAAATGCGATCCGCAAGTCGATAAATATACTAAATAAATTGATACCGCGATCTAACAATATGTTCCGCCATCTATTGACATAATATAATAAACTAAATTGTCATAACATTTGATAAATATACTGCCCTATTTGCTACTGTTTTTATGTTACAATTACATAAGATAATTTATACCAAAAAGTGTACTTTGTTTATTTAGTTTGAGAACCACTTATCAAAATGTCGAGAATGCAAGATGTTTAAGTACGTGTTACTATCTTTTTATATCCGCACGTCGTTGATTATTCTCGCAAATCATACTTTATTGCAACTTATGATGTAAGAAAGTTGTTCTGTTGAAGTCTAAAATTATTTAGTGATGATACCATAATCAAAGGAACACAGCAGTAATACAGTACAGGCGAACCTGGATAAGCGAGAGCAAGAGATAAGCAGCCATCTGGATTCGCGGAAATAGCAAAACGACCGATGCCCCTAGACTAGTTTCCGCTACACGAATGTCAAATGGGTCCCATGCTTCGTCATATCTACTTTCCTAATTCAGAAGAATAAATTAGGTCTCCGACACGACACTCATCAGACGAAACGCGGAATAGCGCGCTGTTTATAATGTAGTCCTCTTTCCCTTCCCACCCTTTTTCTTAAGGAAAGCATGGGAAGTGGAAGTGGACTTTCCGGATGAGAGGTTGCATGGGAAGGTAAGATATATTCTTTCTGTGCATCCTCACCTCCATCGATTAAAAGAAGAAAACGCATATGCAATTGCGTATGTCCATGGGCAACGGTCACTTCGCTATTTCAGCGATTTCAGGTGGCCGCTCGCTCGTTTACCGCATTTTTGGGTTGGGTTAAGTAGAGGTTAACAGGTTCTTCAACTTTATTAATTATTAAAATAAAACACGCTCATCTTAAAAGAGATTTTTGTTTCGATTTAAATAAACCTTGTCTTTTAAATAACTAAGTTGATAATATTACCCCTAAAAAGAATCCTTTAAGGCATTTGATATCTATATTGGTGGTAAGCAGATTTCTTATTTAAAAAGAGATATTTTCATCTTACGTTAAAGAAAAATTTTGTAGTTCAACCTGTTCATAATTGTGAAGAAATTCAAAGATATGTGGTTAAGACTAGCCTTCAGTGCGGTCCTAGCCCTGCGCTGAGTTCAATGAGTTGACGACATATGACTCATTATCTTAAAAAAAAAAACAAATGAGTTGCGTAAGGTTGGATCCTAGATTAATTAAAAACATATTACGGTATATCACGAGTTGCTAGTGCGAGTTATTATACCATTAAAACTAACTTATTAAAATTATTACTTATAAATATTGAGAAATGTTTGTAACAAACTCTGTCTTTTGCAATACATTCTTGACTTATGTAAATGTATTTGGGTATGTAATTATGAAAAAAAGCGATAGGTCAGTGCCCGCGCTCTGGCATTTTAATGTCGGCCTTAGTTTTAATATTACTACCGTATGTGTGATTCATAAAGAAAGAATATATTTTACATGAATGGCTTGCCTTTATGCACTTCTCTACAATGTTTAAACTATGTAAAACATTTATCTTATGGTGCAATTTTTTTAATAAGAGATGAAAGTGTTTTGCTTAATATTGCTTGTCTTCTACATTCAAATATAAAGTTGTTGGGTCTTTTCATGTTTGGTGAATGAATTGCTGCATCGTACCACCAAGAACTCGTAAAATCAGTCTAGATAAAGTGCATTCGCTCCGAAGTCATTCTATAACGAATTTCAAAAATGTATGGAACTGACGGGCAACAATCACGTGACTTATCGAAAGTTGTAGTCAGTTTCATACATTTTTGATGTTTGTTATGGAATCGCTTCGTAGCGAATGCACTTTGTATAGCCCCTAAGGCTACATTATTATGTAATATTCATTGTAAATTTTGCTTGTCAAAATACTTCTATGAATTTTTTTTTATCGATTATTATCTTTGAAAAGACAGAGACAATATTAATATGTTTTATTTTAAATGTTTCAGCAAAGAAATATTGTAGGAGTAAAAACGGCAGTTTAAATATCTAATAATTTATTTTCATTTACTCTTCTACATAGAATTTAATATGTAAATAACTGCAATGATTTATTCACATAGTTAATTTACGTATACATTTACATATGCGATTGGTTATTATTCCCGCCACAAAGTAAATGCTTGCTTGAGCGATTCTTGTTACATGATATTTTATTAGAAGCCATAGTGTTAACTTAGTCTTACCGTGGGTTTCTAAGACCAAAATAGACAAAGATAACGACAGGGAGGACTATATGTTTTATACATAGCATTTGTTCTCAGAATTCAACGATTAATCTTTTATTTTCATTCCGCTATTCAATTTGATTTCAGTAGCTTAAGTTTATTTTTAATTTTATACGTTTATTTTGTTTTTTTAAAATAATCTTTTTGTATCAGGAAATAGAAGCTATTGAGGAGCAATGGCGGACAGAATCAGCGGACCTGGTGACCGCCGTGGCACGTCTGCAAGACGAGAACAAACGACTCAGGCGGACAATAAACGCGCCTGCGGATGGTAAGTACATCTTATAATACTATTATAATAATGTAGCTGTCGACCTTGACTCCAACCGCGCGGAATTAAAAAAAAAATAATAAGTAGCCTATGTGTTCTTCCAGACTATGTTCTACATCTGTGCCAAATTTCACCTACTTCCAGGCAGCTTTTCTGGAGATACCTTCAAATAAACATTCATCCATCCATCCGAACATTCGCACTTATAATATTAGTTTATCTGTTGTTTTAGTATTTGGATGTATGGCAGGATGTTTGTTAGAAGGTATCTCCAGAACGGTTGCAAGGAAACTCACTGAAATTTGGCATAGATGCAGAATGTAGCCTTGAAGAACACATAGGATACTAATTAAGTTTTTTAATTCCGCTCCGACATAGTCGTGGGCGATAGCTAGTTATTCTATAAGACTTATGCCATTGATTCATCCTACCATTGGGCGTGGTATTGAAAAACATAGTGGTAGTCTTTGTTCCTAAGACTGATAGCAAGATTTTATACGATGGAAGAATTTGATGAAAGAAAAGCAGGATTTACTCAGGGTGATGAAGATTCAATGTGTTATTATCATCTTCTTCATTAGTTTGCATCACTAATTTTCAATTTCAACCTATAATTAACCTTATCATTGTAATTTGACACTTAATTAACAATCTGAGCACGATTATTAGCACCTGTTTAATTAAATATTATTTTAATGTTGTTGAATGTTGCGATGTTTGTACTATATTTTTTATTCCTTTAATTTATATAAACCCACACTGGGCCAGCGTGATTTATTATGGCCTAGTCATCTCTATCTTTCTTCTGGCTGTAAGCTCAGAGCCCCTCTCTTGGGGATATGAATTGACTTCGATAAATTATCAATTGCAATCAACGAAGCTAATTATTTACACTTAAATTGATGCAGTTTTTCTCTTCCTAGTGTTAAGAAAAAATCCGACAATGTGCCGGTGTACCAGCACAACACTAGCCTTACTAAAATGTCGACATCTATGCCCCCTCACTATTCATTCTTACACTTGCCTTTGCAATGTAAGCGCGCCTGTAACTAATAAAATGTCTAAAACTAGTATACTTTGGATGTGATAAAAATCTAATATATTGTCGATTTTTGAATTTCTGTAAAGCTTTATCAGTCTTGTCAGATTATTATTATCTAAGACATAAAAACTACGATAGCTGTTAACTTCAATTGTTCTGATTTGTTTGTGTAATGCAATTTAGTGTTGCAAAGATGCAGCAAGAAATTATTGGTAGGCTAGTCGTGGTAAACATAGAAAGTCATCGTATTCGCTTTATCTGTATTTGCAATAAGCACCACGTCGTTGTTTCAAAGTTCAGAGTTTCAAAGATGCGCATAAGGCTGGGACTCCACCGGAGCGGAGACGAGACGAGCGGAGATGAGATGTTTTTTAAACGACCAATAGAATTGTGTTATTGACACATCGCCTCTCCGCTCAGCTTCAGTGGAGATCGCAGTGCGGAGATGTGTAATATTTGTATGTGAGCACAACACACACATCTCCGCTTTGAGTCCCCCGAGCTAAAAAAAACGTCTCTTCTCGCACAGCACACCGCACACATCTTTGCTTTGGTGGAGTCCCGGCCTAAGGCTGGAAAAGGAATATTATTTTTTTAATTCATAAAATTTTATGTATGTTATATACGAATACTAGAAAGTTAAAGTAAGCCGTTTAAACAAACAGGTTATTATATTATATTAGGAACCAGGCAATTCAAAGAAGGGAAAAATCATAATGTAACACATTCCTAATATTCTCACATATAAATGTTGTCGATAGATTCGATAAAAACTAAATTTATCATCGGAGTAAAGTAATCAGACTTCATAAAAAGTTTGAATTGGAAAAAAATCCTCCCTAAACAGTTCGTGTTTCTAAGTAGAAGGTTTCATAGAGGTCAAGTTACGTTTACTTACGGACCGTACATCAGAGTCATTTGAGAAGATAATGCTAGCAAAATGGCGGATCCATTTTCTAGATAAAGTGTAATGGACCATTTCCACTGATCTGGCACAATTTTTATTCAGTCTGGCTGTCCAACATAAGTGAGTTATGAGTTTTAGAGCGAAAATATGTCACGAAATGTGTAATATCATTGTATGAGTTTCTTTTAGATATAAATATGATAACCATGATAGGATTTATTGGATAAGATGAATGTATGGATGGATGTTGTTAGAAGGTGTAGCATTCGTTGCGTTATATTTGGCTCGTTCACGTACCGACACGTGTTGCCGGCTCAAAGGTCTGACATCGACTGACCCCCCCTCTCTCCGGCATGTACTTATGGCGTGTACGCTCGAGACAAACAACACTACGTTTATGCATACACTACAGAAGGTATATCAAGAAGGGCTGTATAGATCTTGATGAAATTTGGCTCAGATGTAGAACACAGTCTGGTAGAACTCATTGGCTATTGATTAGCTATAGAGTCGCGGCGGCAGCTAGTTACTTATATAACCAACGTGTGTTATTAAAACGATTTTGTGTTTGTAAAATATAGGACACAGAGTAATTGAATTAGGTTTTGTTAGGTCACGTAACTGGGCACGGTACAAGTTTCAAATGTCTAGATTGTTATCATAACTAATTGGTGTGGTTCGAGAGAAATTGCCTAATTTCAGCACACATTTCACGAAATGGTTTGGTTACGAAATTGTTTAGGAAAATTGAAATTTTTATAATTTCCTTACCAGGCATTAAAAATTGAGTACAACACTTTTGTGATTAGTTTGTGTTCTTTTCTTTTAAGAATGTCCACAGCAAAGATTTTAATCCTATTGGTTGGAAACTAGAGTTGTGCTAAGACTGCACCAAATGTAATCGGTGACTCTTATCCTTTCCGGTTATGGAAGTATTGCGTGGTTATTTGTTTAATGTAATAATTTTCCATAGGTACCAGTGCACCTCCGTCTCCAGCCCGAGAACATGACCAGGAGGTACTGTCCCGGTTGAGCAGCACGGCAGAGAAGCAACGCGCAACGCTGCGCCATCAAGAGGTGCAGCTGCAGGAGAAGCAGCAGCTCATTGAAAGTGTAAGTATATATCACGGCACCAAACATATAGGCCAAGTCTTAAGTAGATGGTTGTGCGAATCTGTAGTACCTAGTAGACACGTCTTTCATTTTTAGAGGCCAGGTTTGGTTAAAACTTCGCAATTGAGTTTAAGGCATTAGTTCTTAAATTATTTAAATTTTCCTGAGACATTAGCGTAAACTAATGTATTAACGGCTATACACTTACGTATTTGTACGGTGTTGGCACCGACTAGTTTTGAGTCCATCGCGATGCTTCTTCATCAGGGTGAGTGGGACGTTTATTTATTAGTGTTAGGTCTTGTAATTCAATTACCTCTTCCATGCTAAGTTAGTGTGTCGTTCCCCCGTTTTCAACGCGTGGATGTCGCAGAGAAAGGAAGCTTTAATCTTAAAGTAGGTTGATGTTTAAATCTTATGCTGTACACTGAAGACGTGTTCAATTGTAAAGCATTAGCTTGATATAAGTGTGTACATTAAGATCGCAATTCAATTCTAATTCATTCAAATATAGCAAATGTATTTATAAAATAACAAAATAATTTCTATTACAGTGTGATAAGGTCTTAAATTGAATAATATGTTTTCTTATTTCACTTTCGTTAGTATCGCTACGAATAAATGGATTCTATGTACTCGTGCAAATAACTGTTCGCGTGCGTTTAACAGCGTTGTTTCGTTCGCTTCGTACTAAATGAACTTGAACGCAATAAGGTTTTTTTGTTCACTATTTGTTTTATAACTGTTAAGAAATAAAGAGTAGTTAGTTATACAGATATTAAATACGGCTACTGGACATAACCAATCTTACTTCTTACTAATATTATAAATGCGAATGTTTGGATTGATGGATGTTTGTTTGAAGTTATCTCCAGAAAGGTCGAACGGATTGAAATTTGGCATACATATAGAACATAGTCTGAAAGAACATTCACGCTACTAATTGTTTTTTTTTTAAATTCTACGCGGACGGATTCGCGGGCGGTCGCTAGTATATTATAAATGTGAATGTCTAGATGGATGGATGTTGGACAGTATCAAAACGAATCAACGGACCTCGATTAAATTAAGTATAGTTATAGAATATAGTCTGGAAGAATACAAGTTACTTATTATTTTTTCTTGAAATTTGGCGCGGACGGAGTCGTGGGCGTAACAAATATTTGGTAATGTTGTTATGGTAATATTGATGAAGATTCACAAACATGTTAAATTGTATAGAATAAATGAACATTTTAACTATTTCTGTCTAGTCTTAATATAACTTTGTATATTTAAACATAGTTTAAGGGTACTAACCTTTTCGACGAGAAATATGTCCCGAGAAGTTACAGCGAATTAAAGAAAGTCTTGATGAATTTCACTCTTGCATATAAATTGTTAAGATGACCAACATACTTACATTTTGATCTGAGCTTTTTAAAACATATTGTCAAAATATTTCATCACTACAAATTATAATTTACCACGACTCTCTCAATGCGAAATCAATGAAAACCTTAATAAGTAGCCTATGTGTTTTTCCAGATTAGGTTCTACATCTATGCCAAATTTCAGCAACATTCATGCATCCGTTCTGAAGACACCTCCTAAAAAACATCCATCCATCAATACAAACATTATAATTTTAGGAAGAATACAAATGGTAAAGGTCATTAGACTTGTTACGTGACCAAGATCCTATCTTAGCATCTACGAATTTCCTAAAACGAGTACGTTTACGTCAGTTTACAATATAAATTAAATCATTGTAGTACAATTTTGCACGATGAATATTATGCGTAAGTAAAAAAAAATACGCGATAAACATGTGCATTCAACCAACGCTCTCAAGCGACTGTCGAACTTCTATACAACAGAAAGACTACAAACTAGTCGGTCATGAGCTCATGAGTCGATGCTCTTAGCGATGCGATGTCGGACGATGTCCCCTTATACGTCACGTGACCGCCTCAATTGTTGGATGACACGATTAAAAAACCCTACAATGGAAACAGGTCTTTAGTTTAAACAAGGTTTCATTGTAATAATAATGCTTAAGTAAATTATTGGAAGAGAGAGACTCGTATTTGAACAATTGCAGTAAATTTCTGGATTTAAAATTGACCACTCACATAATTCATCGAGAGTTTTAGTAATAATCCAAATGTTAAAGCCTTAGAGAGTTTTTAGGAACAATCCAAATGAGAGAATAATATTTAATTTTGTATGTTTTTGTTTTTACATGGATATAAATGTAATTTTAAATTGTAAAAAATGGCTTATGGTCTTACTCAATACCTTTAACCATATTATGGTCTATTACAATCTATATAAACGTTTTCCTCTATTTTGTAATATTATCTTTTCATCTGGAAGTTTCCAAATCATTCAAAGACTTCTTCGTCACCAGTTGTTCAAAATAAAGTAAGATTTTCATAGTGTACCGTAATGAACTTGAGAAAATGTCGTGGCTACTGGGAATTGTTACCTGCTACGAAACTTGCTAATTAGTCTGCCTAATTAAATCCAGCTGAGAGTTGTTTTCTTGTTGGCAAAAGGATTTGGTTGTTGAGTTTGAACTTTTTAGTCTTATTATCCTGAGGATAGAAATTTTGGTTAATAAAATCTCGTAGCGTGTGAAGAGCAAAATTGTTATTAGTTTTTAAAGATTCAAGAACAAAATATTACAGTTTTTGTGGCCCCTTTGTGTGTGCATAATGATTATTGAAT